CTGCGTCACGCAGAGCGCACCGGCAAGCTGCGCTACCTCGTCACGCACCACGTCTCACACGGCGCGTACACCGCGGCGACCGATGTGCTCGCGGCGCACGCACGGCGTGCGGACACGCTGGCGGTGTGGTACGAGTTTGCGCCGGTGCTCATGAAAAAATGCCCCATCCGCCTCACCACCGCCATGCTGCGCGCGGTTGGGCGCGACGCGCAGGGGGCACCGTATATGCTGCTGCAGCTTGAGCGTCTCATCCCCGTCTTCATTCAGTACACGCCGCAGATGAACGAGGACCCAAGCAATGGCGAGCATCAGGTCATCATCTTCCTTGAGCGCTGCATCACAAAGTTCGACTGTGTGTCCACCGTCGTGCACAACTACTACCTCTGCCTCCTTGCGCACAACGACGGGGAGCGGCTTGAGGAGCTCCCCGAGTCCTTCTCNGGGGAGCGGCTTGAGGAGTTCCTCGAGTCGTCGCTGTTCTACACCGTCGACTTTGCGCTTCGGCGGTGCCTCGAGGCGCGCAGGTACCGGCAGTGCGTCGGTCTCTACCGACGTCTGCACCTCTACGAGGACGCTATTCGCACCGCACTGGAGTGCTCGGAGCCGAGGCACCACAGCACGACCATCTTCAGCGGCAGCAGCAACAAGAATGGGGGGGAGGAGTGGCCCGCGCTGCGTGTAGTGAAAGAGATGCTCAAGTCTCTCCCCGACAGCGTGGAGCCGGCAAAGCAGAAGAAGCTCTGGCTCATCGCGGCGCAGTGTGTGATGGAAAAGGATAGCACACCTGCGGCGCTTGCTGTTGTGGAGGACTCTGGTGGCATGCTGAAGCTGGAGGACATACTTGGAGATATTGGCGACAGCAGCATCATTCAGAACTTTAAAGACGCAATATGTAAGAGTCTTGGCGCCTACACGACGTCCATCGCGGCACTGAAGGAGCAGCAGCTTGAAGCGAGCCGCATATCGGAAAGTCTGAAGCAGGAGGTTTCGTACCTTCAGCACCGCTTCAGGTACGTCACGACCCGCCAGCGCTGTCTGTTGTGTCACCGCCCGCTGCTGCAGGGCTCGGCGCCGTACCTCATATACCCCAACTGCCGCCACGCCGTGCATGAAGCGTGTGCGGTGGCGAAGTTGTCCGAGATTGGTGGCCTGGAGGTGTTCGTCGCGGACGAGGGTCTGCCGCGTCAGTTCCTCGAGGGCATCACGTCTACGAACGATTTGGCGCAGATGGAGTGTGTGTTGTGTGGTGAGGCGGCCATTCTTGAAGTTGATATCCCCCTTTTTGTCGAGGACCCCTCGTGGTCAGTGGAGTAGTAGAGGAAGCAGAAGCAGCAGCAATGGCGCCGCCGCTGCTGCTGCTGCTGTTGCTGTTGTTATTTGCAGAGGGGATCGTTTCCCAAATTCAGTTGTTGGCTAATCAACCTGTGCCCAATCTCCAGGAAGGGGTGTGTGTTATCCACTGTTGCTGTTGTTGTTTTCGTAGCCTCTATGCATATCCTCCTGTGTCTCTTTTTTTTTTTTGGCTTTATTCACTTGTGCGTGCGTGTGTGTGTGTCTATACAGCAGAAATAGCAGCACCCCAACTGGGTTCCTGCTGCGCTGGCAGTATAACCACCTGCGACGTGTGTGTGTGTAACTTAGTGGATGAGATGAAGTTTTGGGTGAAGGCCATCATGGATGACAACGTCCAGGAGCAGTTGCTCGTCAGCGCGAACAACTCTGAAGAGCTCGTGTGGGAGCTTGGCAACCTTCTCCATGCGCCGGTGACGTGGATGTCCGTCTCGGACTTCCAAACCCAGGTGGTGGACAAACTCAACAGCGGCGCCGACATCGTCACAGTGAAGCTCACGACGCTGAAGGCGGCAACGCAGCCGCAGGACATCGACTCTAGCTTCACACCGCCGGAGGGGCGAACCCAGCGCGCAACGCCGGCACAGCCCGGACTCGCGCAGGCACTCTGCCGTGAAGAGGAAGAGTGGGTGCCTCTGTCGCGTAGCCCGAGTCAGTCGGAGTCTGGCACGCATGTACGGCCAGCGGTGCTAAGTCGGCTAATGTTCGATATGTCCCACATCGACCGCATCTGCCTCCGGCGAGATGACGTGGAGCTGCTGCTACACCCCACACACAATGGTGCCTACCACAGCGTGGTGTCCGGCTGCTTCGTGCGCATCCGTGAGCGGCAGGACTACAGTCTGTACCAGATTGTGCGGCCGGTAAGTAGCGTCGAGCTGGTGTTGGACATGATTCACTACGAAGAGACGCGCCGCACGGAGGTGGTGAGCAACGCGCTCCCTGTACTGCCCGAGGTGAATGCGTGGGGGAGGAAAATGGTCGCGGCGTCGCGCAACTTTGTCACGGCCGGCTTCGTCGAGGCGAAGGTGGGCGATGTGGACTCTTCGCTGCGCAGTGCGAGGGCGGCGACGGCGACGGCGTCACCGGAGCCGCTCTTCGCGCAGTGCCTCACCGGGCCGCCGCCCACACCGCCGGCGAACGGCAAGGACTTCTGCGGGCGCCGCTGCCGCGCCACCGTTCTCTCGTTGCCGCGCACCTTCTTGCACGCCTCTCCGGGTCGGGTGCCGCTCAAGACGAATGACGCCCTGTTGCACGCGCAGGTGTGCGTCGTGGAGGAACCGGAGAAGGACGACTACAATATCGTTCTCTTCGCCTCACGGTTGTCGAACGGTGGCAAGAAGAAGCCGCGCCTCTCGGATTTCGCAGGCTGTATGATCACGATGGGCAAGGGCCGAAACTCAGGCATCGTTAGCGACAGGGACGTGACGGAGAAGGGCTACGAGATTTTCTGTGCACCCCAACGCTGGGGCTGCAACTACGTGACGCTGGCGCAGATTAGACCCTCTGTTGGCGACGCCCCTTACTTCGATGAAGCTGGTAATCAGCTTCAGGACTTTACCGTGCTCTGGGGACGCTTCGTAACGGGTCTATTCAACCCACCGACCATTGCAACGTTGCCCATCCCCGCATGGGCGCAAGCTGACGGTGTCTCTGCCTTCGTTGTGCGCCCGCACCTAGTCGCACACCGCGAGCAGCTTCACGTATTCTACCTCATTCGCATGGTAGGAGTGAACCCGTCGCGTCATTCAAGTTTTAGCCGAGGGAACGCGGGAGACGTATGTGACGCCAGTCTGGGCACCGGCAGCATCGCAGGCAACACAAGCTGTGACAGGACCAACTCCAATGGTCCCATGGCAGCCCCTGGTGGTGCGTCGCGTAGCGGTAGCCCGCACAGCAGTGTGGCAGCGGGTGGCTGCCGCTACGGCCTTGCCCATGCCGTGGCCACTGACGACAAACTGCGCACGTGGCAGCTTGTGAGCGAGAAGAATCCCCTGTTTTCGTGCGCAAATACCGCGCCTGTCTTCACAGCGGCCTCGACGTGTCAGACGGAGGCCGTGCGGGAGGGCGACGGTGCCGGTGTTGTGTCGTCTAGCCCACCGGAGAAGGTGCTGCAGGTCCTCTGGCACGAGGAGGAGCACTCCGTGCAGCGGCCAGCGCTGTCGTTCCGCCGCTCCCCCGGCTCGTCTGTGTCGCTGAACACGAGTATGAGTGTTCGTGCCCCGCTGCCATTTGAGCGCTGGGTGAACGCCCACCAAGACGTGCTGCCAGATCTCTGGGTGCAGGAGCCGAGCTTCTCTGCTGTACGGGTGGATTCGGACGCGCTGAGGTTGGGCGTCGCGTCGCTTTCCCTATACGAGCACGATGGTGTGCTGTTTGCTGCGTGTGTGCAAATGGACTCCCGCCAGAAGTCCACTGTGGCGACAGTGCCGGTGACGGCTGAGCCGTAGCCTTTCTCGCCGTACTATTGTGCAGCTGTGTGTGTGTGTGTGTGTTTCTGGATGGGGAGCAAGAGAGTTCGTGAGAGGGACGCTGGTTGGCGAGGGGGAATAGCGCTATTTTTTTATTTCATTGTGCCATGTTATCGTTCTGTCGAAATGCGCGCTGAGGGCGAAGAGCTCCTCGGCCCTTTCCAACTCGTACACCCTCTCCATCTCCCCATTCCTTTCCATTTGGTTTTCTACTTCAATACTGGCCACTCTCCGCAATGAAGAGCATTTGCTCGGAGTCAATGTAGCAATGTTGGTTTTCTGTATTTGTGTATGAGTAGTGTGTTTGTTTGTTGTTCTGTTCTCTTCCTTTCTTTCGGATTGGCGAGTGTACAACATTGCGGTACGCATCATTATCTGGTGCCGGTGGTTGGTGTGTGTGTGTGTGTGTTTGTGTGTGCATCGCTGGGGCTTCCCTCCGCTCCCCCTTTTCCCTTTCGCTGGCGCACACCTTCGGTGAAGAGCTTCCCCACCACTGCTGCGGCTTCTGAAACTGTGAAGGAAAGGACAGAGAGAGAGAAAGATTGATAGCGCGTGCGTGTGAGAGGCCGGATGCCGCCGCCGCCAGGGGGTCAGCTGCTGGACGACGTCGACAAGGCGGCGCTGGGCGAAACATACGCCGCGGAGGAGATTCTCGGCGAAGGCACGTACGGCGTCGTCTTCCGCGCGCGCAACACCATCACCGGGGCGATGTACGCCATCAAGAAGCTGCGCCTCGAAGGGCTGCGCGAGGGCGTGCCGGCCACCACTGTGCGGGAGGTGACGCTGCTGCACGACCTCAGTGATCACCCCAACGTGGTGCGGTTGCTGGAAGTGCTCTGCTGCCACCACCGCGTCTACTTGGTGTTCGAGCTGCTGGACGAGGACCTGCGCTGCTTCATCCGCCGCCTGCGCCCGGTGGGGACGGAGGGGCGGGGCGTGTCGGTTGTGCCGCTCGCGATGGTGAAGGACTTCACCCGGCAGATGTTGCACGCACTGTGGAGCTGCCACAACAACCGCATCATCCACAGGGACCTGAAGCCCGGCAACGTGCTACTGGCCGCCACGAAGAGGGACAAGGGTGACCCGGCCGGGTCGTACATTGTGAAGCTCGCCGACTTCGGCCTGGCGCGCACCTTCGAGATGCCGCTGCTGACGTACACGCGGGAGGTCATGACGCTGTGGTACCGTGCGCCGGAGATACTGCTGGGTGAGCGGCACTACACCCCCGCAGCCGACGTGTGGTCCGTTGGCTGTATCGTGGCGGAGATGGTCGTCGGATATTCCCTCTTCCGCGGCGAGTCGAATCACGACCAGCTCGACAAGATCTTCTATGTTGTTGGCACACCGACGGAGGAGACGTGGCAGGGCGTCACGGCGCTTCCCGGCTACAGTCGCTCGTTTAAGGTGTACCGCGTGGCGCCCCTGCCGACGCGACTGCCCAACTTCGACAAGGAGGCGGTGGAGTTCTTTGCGTTCATCCTGCAGACCAACCCGAAGAACCGGCCGACCATCGCAAGCATTCTTAAGCACCCATTCCTTCAGGGCGATTGAGCCGGTCAGTTGCTGTGGTGCTCATGCGTGACCCCGTGCAGGCGCAAGTCTCCGGTTGCTGTCTGTGTTTAGGTTGCGAAGGAAGACTCAGTGAGGTATCAGTCCTGTGTTACCTTTTTGTCCTGCTTGAGCTCGCCGTTTTGGCTTCCTACGGTGACCGTGGAGCGTTCAAGCGGGATTTCGTTGTGTATCCTTTTTCTCTCCTCGTCTCTCTCTCTCTCTTTCTCTCTCTCCCTCGCACCGTTGATGATGATTTCTTCGCCAGCGTGAGACACAATGCCGAGTGTGGGCGGCGAGCCGAGCAGTGGCACAGAGTACACGTCGGGAAACGACATCTGCGGCGTCTGCTTCACCACAATCCACCCTGCTGATAACCCGCGCGGGCAACTCAACTCCTGCAGTCATGTCTTCTGCGCCTACTGCATCAGAGAATGGGCGCAGAGCACAAATGTCTGCCCTCACTGCAAGGCCCGTTTTACACGCATCACCTCTGTGGATGCGGCCGGAAACGAAGTGGTCACAAAGGTGCGGAAGCGGAACTACAGACTTTGGGAGGAGGAGGAAGATGATGACGGGGACGGAAACAACGGTGACGGCGGAAGCAATGAAGTATCGGCATCTAACTTTGTCGTCTGCAATGTCTGCGGCCAGAGTGACAATGCCTTTCGAATGATTCTCTGCGACCGTCGGCAGTGTCAGTATACAGTGCACCTCGACTGCGTGCACATGGTGGAACGGCCAGCGGAGTTCTTCTGCCCAGAGTGCGCCCTCCTCCGCGCAACACCACCACCTGCAGAAGCTGAAGCCGCTGGTGGAAAAAATGAAGAGGCGCAGCAACAGAAGAACGTCTCGAGTGTGCCGCAACCAGTGCCACCGTGTCCGATGCATTCGAAGAAGATATTGATGCCTCCACCGGTGTGTCTGCGACAGACGCTGGACGCTGGTGCTCGACGGCAGTCGGTTTTGCAGCAGCAGCACCAAATTCGTGTGGTGGCACCTGCTGCTCCCGCACCGCGCTCCTCCCAGAGGCGTGAGGACACAAGGGAGGCAGTTGCAGCGGTGGTCAATGAGGGTAGCGAGATTGACCGTGCGGCACAGGCCGCCATGCAGCAGTTCCTCAAGCGCCAGGAAGAGCGCGACCATTACGTGAACCTTCGGCGGCAACGCCAGGCCGATACGCTGCAGTGCGATGCAGTCTTGGTTCAACACGACTCGAGGAGATGGAAGCGGCCACGCAGCAGCAACACTAGCAGCGGTGCTGACTATGCAGAAACAGAAGCGCTGCTGGATCCTGCCACACGCCGACGTGAGGAGGATCGTCTTGCACGGCGCGTCGCCATTGAACTGCTGCCTGTTCTTCGTCGTAATCAAATCATCCAGGAGAATCGGCTGCAGTTTGACAGCAATGGGGGGATTTTGGTTGGCGCGTTGTCGATGGAGTCGGACGATGCGCAGCGCGATCGGGAACTGTACACACACGCCATGACGGAGGCCAGGCGTATAGCACGGGAGCGTATCGATGCCAAGGTGGCTAATGCACGGCTAAGAAAAGAGCGTCTGCTTGCCGTGCAGGCGCAGCGGGAGGCCGCCGCGTTGGCAAAGCTGGCGAAGATTGTTGCCGCTCACCGTGTCCAGTCATGTCATAACTGACGATGTGCACGCTGTATGGCTGTTGCGCTTATACATCATGTGATTGTTGCCCTTGTCGACTGCCGATGTTGTTGTTGTTGGGTATATTTTTAGTGTAGGTGGGTGAAGGCTTGCTTCACATATTACGCATCCCGGTTTTGTTTTCTTCTCTTGCTGCTGCGTCTCAGTTGAACAAGGGAGAGTGCCGGCAGTGTTGTGCCCCTATGTGCGCCTAATGGAGTCACGCTCTGTGCAATGGTGTGCGTGAAGAAGCGACTGGCTCAATTTTTCTTTCATCATTGTGTAATTGTCTGGTTCTTCCGCTCGCTCTTTCTTCTTGTTGTGGTGATGATGTGTGTTCGCCGCAACCCACATACTACAAACAAACAAAAACAGATTCACATTGTACGTGTTGTGGTACGAGGTTTGCGGCACGGGTGTCATGGCGGACGGTGTGATTGCGCACGAGGACGTCCTGCAGCACATATACGCGTTCCTGCGGGCGTACGGCTATAAGAACGCGCTGCTCGCGCTGCAGAACGAGTCACGGGTGCCGCACAACACAATCGACGTTGTGCAGCCGCAGGAGGCGGACGCGCAGCACGGCGTCACGATGTCGAGCCCCGCCAGTCTGCAGCAGGCGGTGCTCGAAGGCCAGTGGGACACCGTGCTCACCACCTACGTGGACGGCCTGCTGCTGCCAGAGGAGGTGATGTTTGACCTGTACGAGAACATCTTCGAAGAACTCTTGACGCTGCGCGGCTTCGTGCACGCGGCGCGGGCGTTCTTCACCAACTCGCCAGTTTTCGCGGCAATGAAGCGGGCGTCGGCGGCGCGCTACGCACGTCTGCAGCAGCAGCTGGAATCGCAAAAGAACGCCGTGGCCGACGGCGCCGTGGGCAGCGATAGTGGACCCGTCCCTCCGCACGTCCGCCAGAAACGCGAGGCTCTGCTGAGAGTCCTCCAGGAAGCCATTACGTGGAACACAGAGCCGTACAACGGCGTGCTGCCGGCGGCGTTGTGGAGGCTGTTAAACACGGACGGAGGTAGCAATGCTGAGCTGCCCTCGTTAAAGCGTCGACGCATGGATACGAGTGATTCCGCTGTTGTTGCTGCTGCTCCTTCTGCAACATTTTTGCATTATCCGCTTCAATGCCCGAAACATATCCGGGAAAAGGTTGTATTTGCCAATGCGGAAATGCCTACTTCCTGTGCTGTCGCCACTCTCTCGGCTGGAGAGGACAAGCAACACAACTACACCGCCATCATCGTTGGTAAAACAGATGGAGCAGTGGACTTCCTTGATGGGAAATCAGCCGCGCCTGTCGGGAACTCCGTGGGTCACACAGACGGTGTGCTGAGTGTTGCTGTTGACGCTGTTGAGGATGGCGCCGTGTGGGTGGCGGTGGGGTACCGCGACGGTTGGGTGAAGATCTACAACACCGCGACGCGCAAATTGGTGCGTCGCTTTGTGCAGGTGCACGCTAGTGGCGTGACGTCGCTTGTTTTCGCTGGTGCGCGGAGTCCGGCGCTTGCAGAGCACCACGTGTGGGTTGTTTCGGGATCCTTTGACGGTACAATCCAGGTTCTCGACATTCGCGAGGGGAAGTCGGTGCAGCGGATTGTGGACGCGCACCAGCTGAAGTACGTGCTCTCCCTCTGCGTGCTACGGGGCGTGGCGGACGGGGAGGAGGTGCAGGGCATTGTATCGGCAGGCAACAATGGGACGCTGTGCTTCTGGCGGGTGGTGGAGGCGGGGCTGCAGCAGGAAGGGCCCGCGCGCACGCTGCGCTGCATTCATGCGTCGCTGCAACAGGCTGTGCCGGCGCGGGTGCTGGCGCTCGAAGGCACGGGGCCGGCAGGCGAGTTCCTCGTGCTCACGCGCG